TTTTCAAGATAAAGGCTTGAAACTCTTAAATTATATGTAAAATTAAGAGCTGAGCAAGTTTACTTAAGATGTTAGGAGCAGTTATCTTAATAGAATATTGAGTTATTAAGGATTTTATACTGACGAATTTTTAGTTAAGTTTTGTGTAAGTGATTGACGGAAAGAGTTTTTAAAAAAAAAAAAATAAAAAAAATAATAAATTAATTCAGTATTTAAATTTAGGTGAAAATAAAAGATGTGGTAGTATTGCCTATTTTAACCTTAATATTCAAAGAAGCATATAGAAACGGTTGGCTAATTAAATTTGCACCACGTTAAGTGGCGTATTTTATATCTTTACATGTTCCGTCATCATAAAGTCCGTTCAAAGTACTAATTTTCGTCGAATTTTTACTACTTTTTTTATATTCAGCTCTAATTTGAAAACCAAATGAATTTCGACAAAGGTTTTAATGAGAATCGTCAACACAGACCCCATCAATACAATGGACACCACCATAAATATTATGGTCCCTTCCATATTTTACATCTTTTATGTCTCGTTGTAAAGCATGAATATCTTCACATATATTTTCGAATTGGTGTGAAAAATCATCGTCAATATAATGAGTGTCTTTTTTTAGGAATTTGATAAATTTATCAGTAGTATATATTTTTTCTTCATAGGTAATATAATTTTCACTCTCATCTGTGTTTTCATTCACACTCTCATCTGCGTTTTCAACTTCATAATTTTGAACTGATGAATCACAATATTTTATATCTATATCTTGTCGTAAATCACGTATATTTTCGTATTGGTGTAAAAAATCAACGTTAATATGACGAGTTTCATTTTTTAGGAATTTGATAAATTTATCAATAGCATTCAACTTGACAACTAATTTTGATTTTTGAAAACATCTTGATATTCCAGTTTTTTTACTTGTTCTTTGACATATTCAATTTCTTTATTTAGGAATTTGAGTTGATAATCCAAACTTATTGTTGTTCGTTAGTCTCTTGATTCATCCCAATACGAGTATAATTTAATAGACTAGATGCGTCAGTTTGATATTCTTCTCTATTTATTTCCTCTTTATTATTGCCGATTCGATTTTGAAAATTGTATCGATATGTATTATTTTTGGTGCTTGAAGCTTGAGTTGGCAAAATATCAGGTTTGAAAACAGTTTGATTTTGTACTTTAAAACTGTAATTTCTATTATTTTTGGTGCTTAAAGCAGATGAAAAAT